GAAGCTTATTTGCTGCATTTTGACATCGAAATATTATTATATTGAAATGCGCAAATATTAGTATTATCAGGGATGCAAAGTCCCAAAAGGACTCCGGTTTTATATCTCTATTTTTTACTGGTACTAGTAAAAAAGATCAACCAAAAAATTCAGAACTTTTGGACACCAGAGACCATGGTCTCTGGTGTCCAAAATTTATAATCTGCTAAATAAAAAAACTCATGAAATTTAATGGCTTGAAACATATTGTTTTTAAGCCCAAAGTCCTAGAGTCCTAGCCGCAATTATACCTAAGGACTCCGGGGTCAAAATAGTATTGTTCCTCGAACCTAAAAGTCTTAACTTTTTTACCTATAGTAGTCCATAAGAGTTTTTATATTATTAGAGCACCTGGATACCAAAAACTAGGAAGTAATCTTTTTGTGACAAATCCAGAGGTTTTTTAGGACTCCGCATCCTTAAATATTTGTACAGCCGTGGCGCAGTGGTTTGACCACTTGTTTTATTAGCAGGAGATCCAGGTTTGAAACGAGATTTGTACCTATTTTGCGTCACGGTATGGATGCGTGAACTTCCTGGTTAAATGCACTTCCACGGTGCTCTGTGACAAGACCGTTAGGTCATCTTGAGGCACCTAAATAACAAATTCAAAAAAATGTATATAATTTTGAAATAAAGATAATGGTAGCTCTTTAAAAACTGAAAAACTTTGTGAATTGTGACTTTCGGCTCTTCTGTCTCAAAAGGTTGCCAACCCCTGGTTTATGCAATTTGTTATATGCTTTTTTGTTATTCTCGACTCTATTAAAAATAGTTTGCTTTCACTGTAAATTTGTATGTTAAAGTGAGGAGAACTTTATTAACTTAAAATATGATTATAATTTAAACGTGAAAACATTTTTGTGAACCCTCTAATTTTTTTTTATGAGTAATTCTTTGTATTTTTATACTGAAATTATGTTTATAAGTTAAAAGTTTAAACTTTTTTTCTATACCTTTTACTTTAATTCACTTTTTGTTGAGAGCAAACATTTGTAATTTTAAATGATTATATTCATTTGATAATATGTTCATATGTTAAAATTTGAATACATTTTTATTTTCTAAACATTTTACATTGAACCACTTTTATGTTTCAGTTGTAAACTATCAATTTAAAACATTTTTATTTTCCATCTTAATTGATTTTTTTTTTTTTTTTTTTTTTTTTGGGGACGGGTTATCGAATGTTGACGTAACTTTAAAGGAGGGTCACTGAAAATTTGACAAGTTGTTGACAAGGGGGAGAGAGGGAGGTAAAAATTGCCAAAAAATTGTTGACGTAATTAATGGACAGCCCCTTAAAGGTAAAATCACTCACCGTCTACCAAATAAACATTTATCATATTTTAATTTTTATGTTCAAGGTTAACTCAAAAAAAACACTTAAAATTTTTAATTCGTTATTCATAATAAATACGAATAGATACTGACCTGATACTCAAACAACACTTACTTTCAGCCTAAAAGTTTTTTTGTGGCAACGGAGATTTCAGTATCTATTAGAGGGCCAGAAGCATTGAATAAAATTTATATCTAATAAACTTAAAACTCATGAAACTCTTAACATAGTCAAAACAAATTTGAAACAAATGCTTCCGGTTAGTGACGGAGTGCATGACTTCATTTAAAGTTATCTGTATATATATTTATGAAGAGATTCAGGTCCTTGTCGACTTTACTTTTGATTAATAATATTAGTTAGTATTTAAACTTAATTAGTTAACATCTTTTTATTCTTATCTTAAAAGAGTTAAATTAACATTTTATTTTTTCTAATTAATAACTTTTTATTTGATTTTTTCAAAAGAATATAAATTTTTTCACAAATTATATGTTGCAAAATTTTATTTTTTATGTATTTATTACTCTTTTTATATATTTTTACTATTTTTATATATTTATTACCAGAAAATCTTATTTTTTATATACTGGTTACAATTATATATGCTGTAAGTAATAATTTTTATTTTACGGAGTCAATTCTCGGAGCTTGGTGATAAGATAAATTGTGTCTTCTTCTTGCCCCGGCCATCTATATTTATACTGAAATATTAATTGTATGTATATACTTATATGGCAAAACAAAAAAAACAAAAAAACAAAAAATTTCTTTTGTATTAAATCAAGTCTCTTTAGCTGGCTTTGTATTGTCTTAGGTATAATTCACTGGTATATTTTAAATGGCTCAGAACAAGTTCTTTATCCTCTATTTTTAGAAGTTCTCGTAGGAACTTCCAGAAATAGCGTAAGATCTTATACTGAGCATTATAAAATAAAAGAGCTCGTACTAATGTTTGTGCAATGTACTAAATGCTATATTTGCATTTTTTGCTCGTACTAATGTATTAAATGCCATATTTTTAGTTTTTGATGGTTGCATTAATTTGCATTTTAAATTGGAGATGTTGATCTAAAGTAACCCCTAATAGTTTAAAATAGGTTCTTGAAAAAAAAAATTTTATTAGTAAGTTTAAATACGTTATATTGAACTAAAAAAGATCTGGTATTTTTGTAGTTGAAATTCCGTTTTGTTGGATTATTTGCAGTTACATTTTCATAAACAGATTTTTTATTGCTATCAACTTAAAGTCATGTTCTTTATTCTCCAAAGTTTTGAATTTTTTTTTAAATTTTCTTTTTTTAATTTTTTCCCTAGCAAGTTGCACAGTATTGATCACATTGAGTGTTTTTTGAAGCAAGATGTAATAATTTGAAAAAGGACTTGTATGAACCCTTAAAAAATGATATATCCAGATCATTTAAAAAAGGGTAAAGTTACTCCAATTTTTAAGGTACGATACGCCCATTGTTACAAATGATCGCCCAATTTCTGTTCTTTCAAAAGTTTTTAAAAGAATTTTATATAAAGTTATTTATAGCCACCTTTCATTAAATAATATACTATATATCAATGATTATGTGGTTAAAAGAAATAACTTGACAGAACACGCAATACTCAAAATTACTCGCAGTAATGATGAATCATTTGAGAAGTCCCACTATTCGTTGAGATTTTTTATAGGTTTAGGTTTAGGCAGTATAGATGAATCATTTGAGAAGTCCCACTGTTCGTTGAGATTTTTTATAGGTTTATCAAAAGCGTTTGACACTATTAATTATCAAATTCTCCTAAAAAAAAATAGAATACTATGTAACTAAAGGTAATGCTTTAATATTACTTAAAAGTTATTTAAGCAACTGTTAACAGTTTGTTTTTAGTAATGAAATTGGTACAACATTAGCATGTCGCTTGTCTTATCAATTTTAAAGACAAGTTTACTCATGCCAGGCTGCTTTTATTTGAAATAAAAAATTTTAATATATATCAGCTCAATGTTTTTAATATTCTTTGTTTTATGTACAAATGTAAAATTAATTTCTCCCAGTTTCTTTCCATAATCTATATACCTTGAAAGATAAAAATAAATACTATCATTTTATCTAACTAATTTTGGAAAAACAAATTACATTTTGCAGAGCTTCTCTTTGGAATAAAATACCTTTAAAACATTTTGATTTTTTTTTTGTAATTGAGTTACCTATTATTTAAGAATAAGCTTAAAGAAATTATTTTGTCTCTTGATAATATTTTTAAATGTTTAATAATTTCATATATTTATGCTGTCAAGTTTTTTATAGGGAAATACGACTATAATTGATTTGTGATTTATTAAGATTATTAATTACGAGTGGTTCTCGATGGCAAGACTATTGGTCTTCTGGGAGTCTCCGTGTTCTTTTTATAAAATTAAATACCTATATAACTGCTTTATTTTATACTTAGTTCTTATTGTATGATTTTATTATTTTATTGTTTACGATTTTATTGTAAAACGATTTACCAAAATATTTATGAAAAGAACAGCAACAACAAAAAAATGAATAGCGATAAGATTAACAACTCTGAGTCAATAAGAGAACAATAACTTAAAAGAAGGTGAAAGAGGTGAAATAGACTTTTCTTGAAAAATATTTTCCTCGTGACTTAGTACAAGGTTTGATGTGAAAACATTTTGAAATATGAAATTTGTATTAATTTGATCTTACATGAACAGCAATCCATTCTTGACTCTTTTAATTACTAATTGGCTATAGATTGGCTATAGATTACTGAATTCCCAACGGGCATTTGTTGATTTAAAATTGGTTTAGATCACGTTTAGATGGCATTTACGTCGATCTAAACGTTTAGGAATCTATTCTGAACGAGTTCTAAATATTTAATTTGCTTTAAAAAGCTAAATCGCACAGTTTCCTTACGAAACTAGATTAATTAAATTAGTTTCGTACAGAATGTGACAGACATTTTGAATCTTTCATTATAGATAAAAATAAGAATTTCTTATAAATTTAAAACTATGCAATAAATGTTTTAGAAAAGATAAAATAAATTTTTTTTAATAGTATTGTTTTGTGGCTAAAGAAGCAGCTAAATAGTCCTGTAAGTTCTTCGATAATATTGTATGAGCGATTAAAAGTAATTTTAAGTACAATAACAGTGTATTTTGATAATTCTTTTCTTTAGTAGTTACTGCTACTTAAATAACAGTTTCAAAAAAGTAGCAGTTGCAGCATTTTTTTATACTGTTACTTAAATTGTGTTTTTTATTTGGTTTTTAACAACGATATAGAACTTCTATAGTTAACTCTTAGCTTCCTAATTTTTCTACTCTTAGATTAAAAAACTATGCATTTTAAGAAGTAACTATTCTTTAAATAACTAGATAAAACTATTATTGTTTGTTTATATTAAGACCTAACATCTATTTGTTTATGATAGATGTTATATTGATCAAATAGCAATGTTATAATATTTATACTTTAAGTGCAGCCAAAACCAATCAAAAATTGTTAAGTTTAAATATTTATATAATGAACCTTCAGTCTTAGTGTAGGTTTCTAGTGTAAACTGAAAAATATTTTTAAAATTTAAGTATTATTAATACTCCTAAATGATAACCACTAAAGAGAAAATAAATTTACTTACATCTGATATGATAGACTGTTATATCATACCATTTATTTTCTCTTTAGTAGAAAAGTAAACATGGTTAGAACAATAATATATATCCGCACGAATATATTTTATATTGATCATTTAGTTTTGTGTGTTTAATTTTATTTAATATTTTATATACAGTCCAGTCACTTGCAACAACAGTTAAAACAGCAGGAAACAGCCAAGTACAGATGCAAGTGGTAAATTAATTTTTTATAACGTTTTTACTGCTTTAAAATTTTGATTTTCTGCAAATAATAATTGAGTTAGTGACTATTTTTGTAAATAATTTTTTTAAAATTTTTGTAAAAAATTTCTATTTTTGTAAAAAATTTCTGTAAATAAAAATTGCTATGATTTTTATAACAAATAGATATTTTTTTAGTATTCCCAAGATAAACTGCTAACTCTGTACTTTTGATTCTAATAGTTGAACATCATGTTCAACTATTAGAATTATATCTAAAAGTACAGAATTAGCATTATTAAAATCATTTCTAAAAGTACAGAGTTTATCTTGTGATTACTAAAAAAATAACTATTGGTTTTAAAAATGATTGCAATTTTTATTTACAGAACGATGAACTGTCAGATGTTTACCTTTAAATCATAATCTAATTGCTCAGGCTTATGAAAAGCTATTTATAAAAATTCAACGCTAAAAAAATAATGTAAGAATAAAGGTAAAGGTAATTCCTGTTTTATTTGAAAGGTACATTTGAAAGTATGATTAGTTCAAGTCTTTAAAGTTTAAATTAGTTAAAAGAGAGTTTAAATTGTTCTGTTTTTATCTTCTGTTCTTTATCTAAAGCTATTGAAATATTTATTGCATTATTATTTATTTACTTTATCATGTTACGAAAGACCTACCAGTCTTAAAATTTTACAGGCCGAAATATATAGCATGTATATATATATATCAACCCTCGGAATTAAAAAAACTAAAGTTGGAAAAAAAGATAAACAACTGTATAATATATAGTAAAGTATACAAATGCATATATATTATATATGTATTTGAAAAATAGAATATATGTATTATTAAACTAAGCGACTAAACTTATTTAAAACACTTTTAACAAGTTTAGTTACAAGTTAATGCTATGTGTTGATGTACCTTCAACCAAATGAGTGTTAACATTTCAGCAAAATGTCATATCGCCGGGCTGTTTGGTTCGAAGAACCAAAAGCTTGATATTTTATTGCGTTATTTTAATCTGTGATATTATAACTTACATTCACAAAATATCAAATAACTTACTTGTTAAATTTATTTTTCATTGCTTTGGATGTTTTTTTATTCCTTTTACAGATTGTTATGAGGATTGCAAAAGTTTTTAATAACAGAAACTGAAGAAGACATTGATAATCAACACATAACTAAAAAGTGCAAAGGTACTGATTATACAACTCTTTCAAAAGTTTCATATTAATTTGTTAATATTTATATAGAAATTGATAATATATAAACTGAAAATAATAACTTATATTAAATATATAACCTGCTAAAAAAATATGTAAAAATATATAAACTTATTATTAATCTATAATTTTGCATTATTCTAATCTAAATTAATTTTTTTGTTTGTTAATTCATTGGAGTTAATATTACTAGTTTAATACAATTACAGTAGAAATGATTAATTACGGAGAAATTGCATTAAAAATTGAATATATCTCTTGTTATAGCAAATAAATATTATTTGCTATAACATATATATATAAATATTATTTGCTATAACATATATATATATATATATATATATATATATATATATATATATATATATATATATATATATATATATATATATATATATATATATATATATATATATATATATATATATATATATATATATATATATATATATATATATATATATATATATATATATATATATATATATATTTAAAAATAATAGTTTTATTTAGTTTGTTCTATTTTTTATGTATAAAAAAAAAAAAAAGAGAAAGTTTTAATAAGTAAAATTGCAGTAATTTAGGATTTATCTGTGATTAATTACTTTTACGTATAGAAAATAGTTTTTATTTTTCAGGTGAGGAAGAATTTTATGCTAATGTTAATGTAAAAAGTATGGATATTGACAGATAAGCTAATTTGATGTTACAACAAACATGATAATAAGTATATGAAGACGTTAGTGCTAAAAGTACTTGCATGCATCATTTTTGCATGCTATATTATAATATAGCATGCATGCATGATGCATGCAAGTACAAAAAAAAGGGGACAAATATTTAATTATACAAAAAGATTATGGATGTGGTACCACAAGTATATACAATTATTTATGCAAGTAAGTTGACCTAATTTACATCTTTGGAGAATAATAATTGTAACGAATATATCTCAAACAATATACACTCGGATTTACATTTTAGTTAAACCACTTCCACAGCCGTCTTGTCTCAAACAGTCATTTGCATTTTAAGATATCTTTATTCAAATTAAGTGTGACTACTATACCAAAAGACTGTAAAATGGACCAATCAAGTAAGATGTCTAAATTTATATTTTTAATATGAAATCCTTTTTTTTTAGATAGACCTGTTAATTTATATGACTTATGAACATATTTAGCGATATAATCCTTTTATGATAGACTTTTTAAAATCAAGTTACAATGCTTTAGTAAGTTTTCATTTAAAATAACTTTGCATACAAAATATATCAATATAGTTATTTACATTGTAGCTAACCTATCAGTACTAGGGTTTCTCATTTCCCGTAAATTTAGCATCCCGGGATTCCCGGTGTGTAACTTATTTATCCCGGGATTTCCCGGGATTTCCCGGCATAATTTTTAATATAATAACAAGCGGTTTCTGACACAAATTTATCTTAGCACGCTAATCTATATTACTATTTAAAATGAAATATTGTTTTAAAAAACATAAACAATCAATTGATTTGTCACTTAATCGTGAACGAATTTTTCCCATAAATAGACCCGCGGCAGAAAAAGCCCTTTCTGATTCAATTGATGTCGGCTTGATGGTCATTAATGTTGAGTATATTCTTTCTAAACTTTCGCTACGCTTTCCAGTTGCCTCAAAAAGTTTGATTTCTTTTGTGAGGTTTTTTAAATTGCTAATGTTTTCTAGAGCTGCTTTTTCTACTTGTTTGACATTACAAATAGTCGCATCCAATTTTTGTTCAAGCGTCAAAATACTTTTGCCTAATAAATATGGAGCAACAGGTTGAGGTATTGACGGGTCAGAAACCATGCTTTCATTATCACGACTCACTTCAACTATTTCATTATTTGATGAACTAAGGCTAGCATCCTCTATGTACAACCTGGTATAAATTTTTTTTGCTGTTGCTTTTAATGCATGTTTGGGCGGTAAGAGTAGTTTGGAGTTGATATTTGATTCCTGATTATAACTAATTGGGTTGTTTAAAAATTTTAGTAATCCAATTAAATTGGCATTTCTGCGTTCTTCAATTCTCTGCTGCACAGATTGAAGCAGTTTATTAGCTATAAAATTTTTTTTCTCCGTCAAATCGTCTAAGATGAATATCATTACACCTTCTGCGTCAAGTAGAGTAGCATTACTTCTACCAAGTCTTTCTATTCCAACTTTTATTGGTTGCAGAGAAAATGTTATGTCGTTCATAATCGCATATTCATCTTCGGAGATATTCAGAACTTCTTTTAAATCGATCATTGCTTTTAGTATACATGTTTTTACTTTAAGGAATCTTTCTAGCATTGCAACAAGACTATTCCACCTCGTTTTGACATCTAATATCAGCTTAAGCTCTTTATTAAACATAGATTTTACGTACATTTGTAAAACTTCATTTTTAAGAGGTGATTTACGGAACATTCGAACCACTTTTCGAACCTTCTGAATTGTTAAGGCTATATTTACGCTATTTTGTAAATCATCAATAAACGTAACGCCTGTTGAGCTGTGTGACTCATCATTACAGTCAAATACATCATCAAACTCGTCGTAATCACTCAAATTTTCATCGGAATCTTGAAACTGCGATTCAAATTCAATATATTTTGCTGAAGAGTCTGACTTTTTGTAAAGAACATCACATACTGCCAAATGAAGTCCGTGGGCATAACACAGCTGATGTTCAATACCACTTAGCCGTCCAAATTTTTTCATTACGGATGCTCCGTCAGTGACACTAGCTATGATGTGCTTTTTAATTGATAAACTGAAATCTGACAGTTTATTTTCAACTAGATCAACAATTTTTTCTGCAGGAAGTGATCCAGCTATCGGAGTCATTCCCAGGTTCCAAAACTTTGTTGATAAGTGTAAATTTACATTTAAATAACGTCGATTTTTTAAAGACGTATATTCGTCTAACGATAAAGAAAATCGCGACCCGCTAGAAATTTCTTTTGTTATCTCTAAAACCACAGTTTGTCTAGCTAATTCATATTGTTTTTTTATCATACCCATAACATGGGATGGATTTTTTGGTAATAACATGCCTTTTTCAGACAATGATTTTCTAATGAATTCACTTTTTGTTATGGCATTTATTGAGAAGCCATCCACCGTTGCTAGCTTTGACACAATTTCCTCGATAGTCTGCTGTTTAACAAACAATGTTATTTTCTTTTGAACAATTTTATTTTCCGAACCAGTATCTTCAAGTAGACGCTTCATATTTAGATCCAAATCTTTATGTGTGTTTTTTAAATGACGTAGGAGCCCACTGGTCGAAAATCCTTTGCACATTATCTTTACATTGCACTTTTTGCAAATTGCAGATTCGCCAGATTTTTCTTTACAAAAATACTGCCATGCTTTGGATCCATTTACAATTGACATAGTATAACTAAATTGAATCGCAGAACAACTAAAAGTAAAGTTACAAATATTTCTTACATATGTATGTTATCTTACGTATGACTTTTATGTGTTTGTTTGCCGTTTTTTAAATACAAAAATTATTAAATATTTCAATAATTTGATACAGAAAAAGTTTAACTTTTCAATAATTTAGAAGTTTAAAAATTAAACTTACTGTTTTCGTCGCAAGAAATCTTTTTTATTTTTTACTCATATTTTATAATAATGAGAAAAAAGAAAACATTGCATTGCAATGCATTTCTTTTTAGTTTAAGATAGTTTCAATAGCATTTCTTGTTGTGCTAGGTTTTAATATAAGGTATGAACACATAAAACACAACTAAATGCAATAATATTTTTCTTATTTTTGGTCGAATTAGTTCAAAGTTATCATATGTAAAATTATTTTAAAAAAAATTATATTCCGGGATATAAGAGTGATATCCCGGGAAATCCCGCTGCCACTTTTATCCCCGGGATCCCGGGAAAACGGGATCCCGGGATCCCGTTTGAGAAACCCTAATCAGTACTAGCAAAGTCTTTTTTTCTGTTAGTTCAAAAATTGAGTTCTAAAATACCATTATTCAGATAGAGAGCTACTATATCAAAAGACAATCTAATGGATTTGATCAAGTAATACTTAATTTAATGGATTTGATCAAGTAATACTTAATTTTTAGCTTAAGTTGCGTGTTAGTACATATATGATTTTAATATATAAATTTTAATTACAATGTTTATTGATTAGTTTTTAACTTTAAAAATTTTAAGAACAACAATTTTATTTTCACATGTTAATTTATATTGTAGTCAAACTGTCAGTATTTCTAAAACTTTTCAATAGAATAGAAAGTTTCAATCAAATAGGATACTTAGTGTGCTTACTGCTCCTCAAGACAATGGATAATGGGAGTCAACAAACTTTATTTATTTATATATTTTATTACTTATATAGTAATATTCATCCATTATACTTTACACACACACACACACACACACACACACACACACACACACACACATACATATATATATATATATATATATATATATATATATATATATATATATATATATATATATATATACATATATATATATATATATATATATATATATATATATATATATATATATATATATATATATATATATATATATATATATATATGTATATATATATATATATATATATATATTTATGTATATATATATTTATGTATGTATATATATATATATATATATATATATATATATATATATATATATATATATATATATATATATATATATATATATATATATATATATATATATATATATTTATATATATATATATACATAAATATATATATATATATATATATATATATATATATATATATATATATATATATATATATATATATATATATGCTGTACAGATATTGTTATAAAGTAATAGAATACTATATAATATTATATTACTATTTTTAAGAAGGGTACTGCAGTTGTCCTGCAGTTATGCAACTTATCAGTTATCCACCCATAAATGCGAAAACTACAAGTTTTTTTAATAAGGTTTTTATTATATAAATGTTATATATTTTACAGAGTTTTAAAGAAAAGTTCTCTATCAATTATTACTATAGCTACTCAATGTAAACTGTACTAATGTACAATCTTCTAAAATCTATAAAACTATGGCTTTATAAAGTTGTTGAACGAATAATTTATATGAAAGAAATGAAGATACTTATTGAGTTATTTTTATTCTTAGAACTTGTATTGAAAAGAGATTGTACGTCCTTGGTATCCGCAATACGGCATCGTGCATTGGGTCCCATCTTAGAATGACTCCCATCCGTATAGGTGGAGCGAAGAAAAGTTATGTCCTTTTTTCTAATTCTTAAGGGCAAAGATGACGATGATCAGCCGATTATGATGACGAATACTATAATGCATATAAAAATAAATAAATTGATTTTACTTGTATTTTAGACTTAAATAAATTAAAAATAATCTGTTTAACGTTTGATTTGTCTATAAGTATTTAGATAATGCGTTCAGCGTTTAACTTTTCTTTACGGTGCGTATTTAAAGAAGCTTAAATAAAAGAAAAGCTTGATGTGTTTAACAGTATTTTTATTATTAATGCTTCTTTAAATAAGCGCCGTAAAATAAAGTTAAACGTCGCGACGTTTAAAACGAAAGATTTAGATTGAGTTTAAATAGCGTTTAAAAATAACTATTTAGATATGGTTTAAATGGAACATTCGATTGACCTACGTTCTAGATCGAAACTAAATTAAATCTAAACATTTAGAACGAACCCAAGCTAAACGTTGATTAAATCTTCGAATGCCCGTTGGGTTTGGTCTGTTAATAAATTTTGAGTAGGTTTTAAAGTCATTAATCAACTAATGTTTTTCATGCAAATCTAAAGTTTAATTTTTTCAACTAGTTATAACCTAATGCGAGTTATAAATTATACTTAATTTATCTAATTTTTTTTTTGTAAATGACGTGGACATTTGGAATGCAGCATTGCAAGCAAACATTTTTGTATCGGACCTATATTGGACTTTTTTTCATTGGTTACTTAATGGACCAATAATGACATCTGCTATAAGTGGCCAGCCGATAACTTTTCGACATGCGTTATAGTGGTTAGTCGTTGGCTAGCCGCATTTAGAGTTTTCCACTAATGATTCACTAAATAACTGATAAACTACAATGCACCGCTCAAAATGCTTATATAGGTCCACTAAAACTCCACTATAGAATGTTTGTTGGGTTGCCTTTCTACTGGGATCAATTTAAACATTCGTGCAAACCGTTTGGACTAATAAACTTGACAAACATTTTATTTTCTCCAAGGAGTTTGAAATTTAGTTTGCTATGAGGCTAGTTAGTTGATAGCTATTTGCCGTATTTCCAACAAAATTTGTTTACTGAAACAACAACATTGAAAGATGTTTTGTGAAAACTCTGAACCGCAAAAATATATTAATAAGTATAATATAAACACTTATTTCTAAAAAAGTTGTGTTAAAAATATAATATATAGTATTTTTATTTGCCTAAATTATAATACAGTTGTATATACTAAATTTGATACAATATACATTATTAAAATACATTAAAATTATTCATCAGTTGATCAAGATTTAGGAGTATTGTATCATTGAATTTGATTTTTTACTGCTAAAAAACATTTCACCTAATGACTTCAAAAATCTTGGGTAACAACTTGACTCAAAAAATTAAAAACAAAAAATAAATATTCAACGATTCCAGCGGACTTTTTGTAACCATGAGCTGAATGAGTCGTTGCGATAAAACAACCCTTTAGTGTTTCCTAAATAAAGTAAAATTGTATGACAGCAAGTTGTTACCAGTAATTTATAAAAAACAATTGTAATTTTATGCAACAAAATTGATCAAAAATAAACTTCCAAAGATAATTTTTGCTTTATTCATTTGCATAATTATGTATGTAAAATAGTGTAAAAATATTAAAATTTATTTCAAAATATATCAATCCTATGAATTAAAAACTTGTTTTATCCTAATATTATCCCCATTATATTATCCCCTAAATAATAATATGCTTATAATTTGTTTACAACCTAACGTTCATTTACCATAAAAAAAAAATAATAATAAAAAAAAACAACTGCAGTTTGAATAATATTTGTGTTGAAAAACGAAACATTGTTTCAATATTTTTCTTAAAAACTTTGTCATTATGAAAAACAAAAATATTTCCTGCTTTCCAATTTACCTCATACTCAAAAAGAGACCTATAGATAAAAATTTTTCTTCTATTTACGAAATAAACTCTTAAGCATTTTTCTATGATAATATACTAAAGAAAAAATAATACTTTTTTTTAAAAAAAACAAAAAAACAAACTTGTCTTGTGCAATAATGTAGCAGCTTTGGAATTTTCCAATTCATTAAAGTTTTTTAAACTAAAATATCTTGAATACAATTATAAACGGATATAAAGAGCTTTAACTGGTCCTGTTCTAAAATTATATGGTTGCAAGTTTCAAAAATACGTTTACGTTGTGCAAAATAAAAATGTAAAGATTTTAAAATGAACAACCTAAATACTTAAGATGTGGTTAAAAACTATAGATCATTAATTTATATGTAACATGGTCAATGGCAACACGCTGAGATTTTGGTGATCGGCAAAAAAGTAAATTGATAAATTAATAATGGTGATGATGATTAAACTAATAAATTAATTTAACATAAACTTAAAATTTTCTTTTGTTGTTAGGAATCATCACAACTTATATAATTATTATTTTAGCTTTTCAAAAGCTTTAAAAAATATATGGCTGTCATTTTTTGTTTTAAATGTAGCCGTTGTTGCTTTTAAAATGCCGATGGAAATTTTATTAAACAGGTTATTAATCTTTTCGTCTAATACACAAACAAACCCAAAATGTCACAAATAAGCGGGGGAAAAATTTTTATCTTACCCATCCAATGATTTGATCCGAAAGTATAAACTTGATCTTTATCTTCTTCTAAACTTATTCTCATAGTTTTATTAAAATTACTAGCAGCAATACCGTCTCCATTGTTTAAGGTCAACCATTTTTTGTGAATTCCATGAAAATATAAATATGATTTCTGATTACGATGGATTGCCCATAACTCTTTTGTCACTAAATGATGACCCAACACACATCCTACACGAAGATCTAAGGCTGAAAAAATAAACTTTATTGAATTTAAAATGCAAAATATTATGTTAGTATGTGAATATTATGCATTTATAAAACATAGAATATTGTCAAAATTGTTGTCATAGATAGGGGAGACTGGTTCTTCTAGGGACGCGCGTCCCTAGGAGGCTAGACACTTTGGCTGTCAAGTGACCTCAAGAGGTGGAGTGTTGCCACATGGCGTACGCCATGTACCTAGGAACACTCAAATATTTTGAGAATTTTGTATGAGAGCATAATATTTTTTCCATGTGGCAACACTCCACCTCTTGAGATCACTTGACAGCCGAAGTGTCATCATGTTGGTGTGAAACGTTGCATAGTGGTGTTTAAAAATTGATTTTACATCCCTTATACGTTTTTTAACATTTTTCTTTTTTAATTTCGCCCTTATAATGTATTTAACAAAGCATTTTTTAGTTTATACGAATACATTTTTTGTTTGCTTGAATATTGCGTTAATAATATCTCTCAAATTCTAACCTCAAATTTTTAGTCGGCGTTTTTTGTCAACTTGGCGCCCTTTTGTACCTCTATTTCCTTTTTTTCTGACACGCCAGAAAAAAAGGAAATAAAGGAGAGGAAAAGAAAGAAAACAACTTGTAACGATAAATCAAAAAAACAAAAACGGGAAATACCGTCGAAAAATAAAGTTTCTAAAAAGTATAAATTGAAAACAAAAAAGACCACCCACGAACCAGTCGAACCCACAACCCAACGAACCAGTCTTGTAATGAATATTCTTCTTAATTAAAGTATTTTTTATTCTGGTAAAATTGGTATCACTCTTTTTGACCTATAATTATTAACTGTTTTATTTTAATTACTGTTGTTTCTTAATTAAAGTATTTTTGTCCTGAATATGTTTATGTTACATTTTTATCTATAAGTTTTAACTATTCAATATATATTGCTGCTTCTCAATTCAATCATTTTTTGTACTGGAAAAATTGATTTTACTTTTTTTTATCTACTAGTGTTAACTATTTTAAATACAATGTTAATATACAATTTAAATATTTGTTCTGGAAAAATTGATCTCACTAATTTTTATTTATTAATGTTAACTATTTTAAATAATATTGTTACCTTTACTACAAATAAATATTCTTCTAACGATTTATATTATTGTTTTAGTTTCCTTTCAGGATTTTTTACAGGTTCTTTTTTATTTATAATTATTAGCTCAATAGAAGCCAATCTGAGTATTCGATTACTCAGCGTCCCTAGGTACAACCGCCGTCCCTAGATACAACCACCTATGTCCCTAGGTACAACCCCATGTTGTACCTAGGGACAAAGTCTGACATCATTTTGCGGCTAAAATATATTTTTTTTCTATATTTAAAGCCATTCAAATAATATACATAACATTATTTTCTTATATACACAGAATTTCAAAATATTTATAAATATTATTTACAATAAATAATTTATGTACAAAATTGTAACAATTATGTAAAATATGTATTATTTAATGAATAAAAATAATAAATACTAATGATTCTCAAAAACAAACCACCGTGTTTCAAATGAAAGCAGAAGAATTGACCAGAATCCTTTCGTTATCTAATTAATTGGTATAGATGTAAAAACTCTCAGAAAGACTGATTTCTTTATTAGCTATAAATTATCAAGGTATTAACAGTGTAATGTAGACATAAAGACATCGCTGTTTTCTTTTTATACTTCCCAAGGCCGAAGGAGCCATTATATTTGAGGAGGCTACATTTTTTTTTAAATTGTGATTTTAAACCTCTCTCAATTCTTTAACAACTCCAAAACACAAATCATGATAAACAAGGCTGCTGCATAAAGAAAAAAATTTAGTCTAGTACTAACAAGCATATAGTGGGTATCAAACTTTGAACTTCTTGCTTATGAAGCAAGCGCTTTAACATAAAGCATATACTTTATACAACTACTTGCATAAATGTAGTGCTTTTATAAATTTAGTGCATAAACTTTTTGTCAATCTGTTGAGGCAACATAAAAAGTATTGCTACAAGTATTGTTTACATTGTTAAGAGTAGATAGATAAAAATTGCTGCTCTAGCAAGAAATCTTGGGTAATAGAAATCTTGGGTAATAGAAATCTTGGGTAATAAAAAAAAGCCTGTTTGCATTAGCTTTTTAAAATAAATGGCTAGCAAAGATACTGTCGCCTCTAGGATGTTTTTTTTTTCTGTTTGACTGCAAAACAACTAGACTTGAATAATATTTATTCAATAAAATATTTTTTTAATGTATTACTATTGCAAACACATCTATGTATAATGGTACTCATCCTCATTTTTCTAACTCAATTCTTTAAAATTTTGTTAAATTTGTTTTTAAAATAAAATAAAATTTTTCCAATTATGACATAGAGTTTTTAACAACTTGTTTTTAGGTCCTTATGTAACTTTGCTTTGGTTTCTATTGAGACAGATTTGAATATCCTGGTGTCTATACAATACCAAAATTATAAGCTTGTCTCTATATCTTAATAATTGAAACTGCTCGATTTATCCATTTAGTGTTTTATCAAATAATATTTTTTACAAAGGACACAGTATCCAAGCTACAATATAAACAATCTGAAATAAACATAATATGAAAAACAAAAAGGTATACTCTTTGTATTACTTTATTGGTTAACAAAAATTTCTGATATTATTTATATACTCGTTACATAAAATAAAGTTTTAAAAATAAGGAAAGAAGTTTTTTTCAAAGATGTCATACACAATATGTAATACAAAATTGATTAAACTTGCTTGTTTAAATGTTAAAATTTATCTTACCGTATCTAAGTGTACATCAATGCCTGCTAACTCTTAATAAATTTATGTAATTCTCATACTTTTATTAAAATTACTAGCAGCAATATTGTCTCCATTGTTTATGGTCAACTATTTTTTGTAAATTCCATTAAAATATAAATATGATTTCTGATTACAATTAGCCGCAAAGAATTATGAGATGTCTTGTAGGACCAAATAATCATAACAGTTTGCAACGCATAGTGAAATATAAAAAATATTTCATTATTTTTACCAGAGGGTTTCCCATTAAAAAAAAAAAATTTCTTATATAATTAAAATTAATTTTCAAACTTTTTCATAACATTATTTATATAGCATTTATATATCATCTAACATTAATATGTTGACGCAGTTAAAATTTGATATAAACTGATATAAAATTTGATATAAATGTTTTGCATTAGCCTTTTTAATTATATAATCACTGTATTCATTTTATATTAAGTTAAATATATACCCTTTAATTAGATACTAAATATATAGTTAATAATACCGAGAGAAAAAACAACAATTATAAATAAGAAATATTTCCTTTCAAGAATTATCTTTAAAACAAAATCAACCACAGATACTGCAAGCTAACTTTTTTTTACATGCCTTGTTTTGTGGTGCCAGGTCTCGATTATAAAACCTTATAAGATAAGATGCTTTCATATAAACATAGTGTCTGATTAAACTTTCTTTTAAATGAAAAGCATGGTCAACATGTTTATCATAAAGAAATGTAAAACTGCAATTATTTATGATTACTTTAATAACTTGTTGTTTAATATTTTTTTAGTTAATAAAAGTTTTATTTGCGTTATAAAAACAATTTCCATTTTGTGAAGTAGGTTTTGTAAAAAAGAATCAGTATTAAATAAGTTACTTTCACAAGGTGTCACACTTGAAAGAACTTACATTTTAAGTAGTGGTGTACCGGATATTTTTGCCGGATATGCCGGATATTGAACTTTTCTAAAGTTCTATAAGTGTATATGAAAAAAAATCAAGACTTGCCAGTCTACAATAAATAGTATTCAAGATCTTACTTTAAAAAATCAAAAGAAAAACTGTATGACATGGAATATGTGCTGAAAAAGTATAGAAAATAGTAATTAAAAAAAACAAACATTTGGCTGTAAAAACGATTTTACCTTATACATTATTAACGCAAATACCTGTGTTATACCAGTTTTTTTTTTATTTTATTCTTTTAAATCTTGAACACTGTTTAATGTAGAATGACAAGACTTGTTTTTTCTTCATAAACACATATAGAACTGTAGAAAAGTTCAATATCCGGCATATCCAGCGAAAATATCTGGTACACCTCTAATTTTAAGAATGTACACATTTTTGACAGACTTATCAAACCATCTGCAATTGATTTCAAAACCTGTTTAATTGACTGTGAAACTGAATCAGTTGAAATATTTTGCAATACATAAGGCCATAGTTTCTTTTTAAATAATGCAGTATGCTGTTTCAGTGGCGGATTGAGACTTCTTGGGGCCCCGGGCTATATTATTATTTTTTGAGGACTTTTTATGGGCCAGAGCCTGTAAAAAAGCCGCCAAAAATAAAAAGAGGCCTCTAAAATTTTTGGGGGCCCCTAAAGTTGCAGGATCTGGGGCTATATCCCCCCCCCCCCTATCTTTGATCCGGCACTAGCCTGGTTAAAAATCAATTATTTAATTTCAAATATTTGATTTTCAAATACTATGTTGGTAATTGAGTCGATAATAACTGCACCAAAGAATCTGATTCTGGGAGACAAATACTGTTAGGCTTAGATTGTTCTATTGAAAGGACAAATAAAACATTTTTACATGCTGATTTAAATTGCATTGCTGTTGGTCTGTCATTCCAGTCTCCTTTTCTTCCTCTTAACGCCAAAAAATTCATTAAACTTTCCTGATTAAATTGAAATGTGCAAACATAAAAAAAATCCTCATGAAGCAACTTATTTGCAGAACAAAGCATGTTAGAAATAGTGACATCTAAACCCCAACGACTGGATATACTTATTTGGCTGTAAGCATCAAAAAAATGCCAACCCTAATGCCAACCCAAACTCTTAAATCTTCAAGCTGTTGTATAAAACTACTATTTATAGTTAAAGCGTGTTTGTTTATCTGCTTTTTGTTTACAAGAATTCAAAATGTCAAATAAAGTATCCATGCTTTCAATAACTTGTCCAAATTATAAAGCTCTTCCAGATGCTTCCACAATATTATTTTACCATTAGATAAAATGTCATGTTTTACTAAATTGTTTCTAACATTTTTTATAAGATATAGTGGATAAAATATTATATAAACTTTTGCTCCTGCAGTTGGATGTGAAATTTGTTGATTTAATAATGAAAATTCTAAAAACTTTGAGAGTTCTAATATTACTTGAGATTTGATCACAAATATCTTACAGTTAAACCTGTTTTATGTAGATGAATCATAGCTTTACTAACTGTCTTAGCTAAATTAGTTGAACACATAGTTGAATTACTATAAAAATATAAAATTAGTTGTTACCATTTTATTGATAACCTGCGGTCCATCAATACAAGAACTTTCATCGCTAAACACGATTATTTATACGTATTTGACTTTCAAAAGTTTGGTGTTTGTTAAAAATTTTTTTAGATAAATTAAAAATATGTTCTATTAAACCATCACTTTTTTTTAACATCTTATGCTTTATCTTTCACTCTTCTCGAAAATTCGAGATAACTTCTTTTAGCTGTCCCAGAGAAACAAGATGTGGGGTTTGAAAACCCTTGACTCTGTGATCACAAAAATGTAAAAGTTGAAATCAAAACATTATATCCAAGAAAATAATTCAACATTTAAATGTCTTACTATAAACAGCAATAGAGTAAATGACAACTTTTGACATTTCTACAGCATAAATAATTATATTACTGATTGGTGTCCTTTTGTATGTGACAATCAAGGTACACTCACTATAAGTTCTTTGTTTATGCGACACAATGATTGCAAAAAGTGACAAACGGAGCCATCCAGTTTCGTAGACCTGAGAGATGTGATAATAAAAACAGTTAGAAGATGGTGTCATTGAATAAAAAATAAAAATCATAAGAAAATATAAAATGAGTGATAAGACTTTTGTGAAGGTAAATAACGAAGTTAAATGCTCGGGGGGCAGGGAGAGAACCGACTAACACTCTAATCACTCTGTGTGTAGATCATATGTAACATATGATGTACACACTCTGTGTGTAGATCATATGTACCTTTAATAATTGAAAAAGTGAAGACAGTTCTCCAAAGAGATGTTGACTTTTAAGACTTAAGAGTTCCAAAAAGGAATTTGTGAAGGATGCCGTTCAGCAATGAAGAGAAAAGATGAAGGCGAAGAAGTAAGCGTACCACTGCTATTCAATTTTCAAGAAATTTATCCCATGATTTCTACAAGAGAGCAAGCTTGCCAATGCAATTATCTATCAAATTGATCAACTCAAGTTCAATCAAAGGCATCCTTTGGAAAATTGGCAGAAGACTGAAAACAAGAAGGGTGACCATAGATGCTCCAAATTTCTTGCAGTTCTTGGCAAAGGTATGTCCCATCCTTGCAATGAATACACATTTCGGGAAAACATGAGGTTGCTTGCAGCTAAAGATAGCAAAGTTTCTGACCAAATAGCTGCTACTGTTATCAGTCAAAGAGAAGCATCACCACATGGAATAACATGCCTAAATCAAGCTCAAGGTGGACGACCATTGGCATTGACACCAGGTAGATTTTTGCTATGCTCGTAAATTTATTTTTAAACCTAAACACGATGTACTTAATTATAAATTTATTATCTGACAGGTTCTTCAAGCTCTCGGCGGTTGTTTGAGGCCCCTACAAGAGTGACAGCACAAGATCTTGCCCAAATTCAGATCAATACAGGAATGTCCAACAATGGCATAAGAAAGTTAGCATCAACTCTTAATCAAGTATCACAGGTAAAGTCACTGAACCATGCATTGACTCTAAGTTTCTTGAAATAGGAACCAATCTTGCAAGTTTTTTCACATATTCAAAGCTAGAAGTCATGCAAGAAAAAGGATCAAAAGTTGAAATAGCAACAATTATTCACTGTAAAGATTTTTCTGAACTGCTGGAGCACACCCTTTTAAAAAGAAAAATAATTTCTGATCACACTGTCAAGCTTGGAATAAATGAAAGCTGGATTTCTAAAATTTTCTCTAGGGGTTGTAGAAACATTACAGCACTCCAAAGTTCGTTCTCCACCAAGCAAACGACTTCTGACAGTAAAGAGCTCCAAAGATTGTGGTTGCAATCAGCAACTTATTGTTGCTGTCTCTGAAGGAATGTCTGAAAACTATTCTAACCTCAAGAATGCTTTCTCCTTGATCAAAGCTGACTCAAAGAATTTTGTGGTATCTTGTGATTTAAAAGTTGCCAATATTCTATGTCGTCTTCAATCTCACACTTCCATGCATCCATGCACATGGTGCACAGCTCCTTCAACTAACCTTGCTAAATGTGGAGACCTACGAACTTTTGGTTCCCTCAAAGCCTCTTTTCAAGCATTTGCTTCTGCTGGCAGTGATGTAAAAAATGCCAAGAAATATGGGAATGTCATCCATAAACCTATTCCTCATGCAGATGACACTAGTCTGGTTTTGGAAATTATCCCTCCCATGGCGCTTCATCTTTTGCTTGGAGTTGTTAACCACCTCTACAAAATTCTCAAAACAGTCTAGCCTCCAACTGATGAGTGAGCAACTGCTCTTCATATTAATCCTCAGCCTTACCAAGGAGGTAATTTCATTGGCAATGATTACCGCAAGCTTCTCAAAAATGTTGATCTTCTTCAACAGTTGGCCGAAAAGAAGGCAGCAGTTCATATTTTTCCACTTATTGATGCTCTGAGAAAGTTTGATGCCGTGGTTATTGCCTGCTTTGGAAACGAACTGCAGCATGACTATGCACAAAAAATTGAACTTTTCAAGCAATTGTTCTTGGCACTACCAGCAGGAAGTGTAACTCCAAAAGTTCATGCTGTATTTTTTCACATCAAGGATTTCATCTCAAAAAAAAACACTTCTTTGGGTATTTACAGTGAGCAAACCACTGTATCTGTGCACCATCAATTCCAAACTCATTGGCTAAGGTACAAGCGCCAAAAGACACACCCAGAATATGTCATAACTTCAAAAGTGTGTGACTGATTTTAACAGCAAGCACTTGTAAAAGAATCTGTAAACGTAATTTGTATTCAGAATGTATATTTATATTAAGTCTTGACTGTTGCTTTAAGAATTTTATGTTTATATGTGCTGTAGAAATGTCTAAAATTGGAATGCTGTCATTTACACTATTGATGTTGATAGTAATAAAATTAAATGTTAAATTATTCTCTTGGATATAATGTTTTGATTTCAGCTTTTATATTTTTGTGATCACAGAGTCAAGGGCTTTCAAACTCCTCATCCTGTTTCTCTGGGTCAGCTAAAAGAGGTTATCTCGAATTTTTAAGAGGAGAGGTTCTTAAGTTTTTTTTAAGTCAACAAGTCTTAACTTAAGATTATAAGTACTCATTTTTAAAATTAGTTTTGATTGTTATTTTCAACATTACTATTTTCAACATTATATATTTCATTTAATTCAACTTTATTATTGACTTATTTTTTTTTTTTTTTTTTTTGTATTTTATCCTGTAAATAAAGTCTGTTTGTACACTGTTTTTTACAAATTATATATTTGCAACATTCTTTCCATGTTTGTTCACACAACTGATGGCTGAGCAAAAGGCTGGTATAAAATTATTATAATATAGTATAAATATTATAATATAGTATAAATATTATGATTATTTATAGAAAAAGCAACTTGGTTCTTGAAAAACATAATCTAATAATATTATAATATATAATATATCTAGTAGACAACAAGGTGTATAATAAATTTATGTTATATTTTGGAACATGGTCCCGCAAGGACCATGATCCACATCCCATAATCCAATATATGTCCAATTACACATAAATATATGGATTTTTAGTCAAGTTGGTAGGCATTGGTGTACATTTTTTCAAGATTTAAATGTCATCATTAGAAATCAGTGCATACATTGTTTGGTAAATTTTAATTCTTACCTGCCCACAAACCATTGCCATTATGTATGTTAGAATAATAGCATGCAGGTACTGTACTAAAAAAAGAATAACAGAATCCAGGCATTATACTAAAAAAAAAATTAACAACATACAGGTACTGTACTACAAAAAGAACAACAGCATGCAACTACTGTACTGAAAAAGAATAACAGCATGCAGTTATTGCGCTAAAAGAGGAATAATAGCATGCTATACTAAAAAAGAAAATTTAACAAAAAAATTGGGATTGGATCAACGGGAACACAATGTGTTTTAAAAACAACTGTTTCATTTATTATTATAAAAATTATAGAAAAAAATTAACCTCTCAACATGTTGATTCATGCAAATGTAAAAATTAAACTTTTCATTATCGATATACATTCCACGCCCATAATATTCTAATAAAGAAAAAAAAAATTTATTAAAAATGACTACAACAAGAACAAAAATTATTAAAAAACCTAAATTTAGTTTAAGAATAAAAATAATTGAATATATATAAACAAAATAACTTTTAGCTGACTATTGAAATAACATTTCATAAAAAGACTTCATAAAATTTTATCTATAATAGATTTTTATCTGCTTTAAGAACAAAACATGTTCTTAAAGCAGATAAAAATTGTTTACCTTTTTTATGTGCTTCAAGAACATGTTTTGTTTTTTGTGCATGTTAAGCAATGATTATTCACTGATTTGAAATAAGGTTTTATAGTTTAAGGAAGGTAGAGGCTGCTTTTCTGTTGTTTTTTTCAATTTATTTACGTTGTTTCTTAGTAATACAATCTAATTATATACTTATAGTTTATCTACATTTAACTTACAATTTAATTACAATTTACAATTTAACAATAAGATAGTATGTTACTTAGGTTACCTAAATTTAAAGGAAGATAGTTACCATTTCAAAATAAATTCCAATTAATGGCACAAAAGATTTATAAAAAATGAAAGAACTGAAACTGTATAAGTAAAAATGTGATTAAAAAAAACAAACATTCTTTGAATAAAAGGAAATAAGTCAACAAATAGTAAAAAACTAAAAAAGTTGTTTTACTAGAAATTGTTCAAATATGTTAAGCGATAAAAAAAAATGTTGAACAATCACAAAAGTTGTTTTAGGTTATTAACCTTTTATTTTTTTTTTTTTTTAAATACATTTGATTTTAAGAAAATTATCATGAAGCAAGGCTTTTTTCTATGGCTTTGTGTAATTTATGTTATACTTTTGAAGTAATAAAAAATTCTCTAAAGTCAAAAGAAATATTTAAATTTTGCTGTAAATAACCCACAAAACCTAATAGTTTTAAATATTTAATGTCATACAATCGTTCAAAAATCAATATGAGTATGTTGAAGTCTACCTGAAAGTCAGAACGGTTTGTCTTTTTGTTAACAATGGTGTTACTCACACTAAATGATTGCTCAAAATAGGGACTGTTAAATATACTTAAAAATGTCTTAATAATTTTACTAAGCTCTGCATATTTTTACACTTTAAACCAATAGTCGAGATGCACAGGGTTCTTATCAGGAGCTACAGTTAAAAGCTCTATCTGAAGCTGCATAACTTTTTAATCAAACTCTACTTTACCTATATCTACAGTGAGAATGAAAGTTAAAAGTTTTTTTAGCTTTAATAAAATCATTGTAACTTAATAATCCTGATGCTATAATAACTAATAACTAATAAACAAGAAACTTATTTTAAAAAACTGACAATTCAAAAAACTTTTATAAAAGTCTTAGAAAATGATGATTGAAAGTCATAACATGCTGAGAAATTTTAACTTTTTTTCTGTTATCACCTTTGGTTAAAACACAAACTTTAGTTATTGTTAATTTTAGTTATTGTTATTTCAAAAGAATTAATGGTTCTCTTTGTTAAAAAGTTAAAATGATTAATTTTAAAATGGAAAGAATTTTAACATAAAGTAATGTTTTTTTACGCAAGAATATTTTCTTAGCTTTTAAAGCAGCAATTTAGGTTGTTTTTTTTTTCAACTTTCATTTGAGATAATTTTGATAACCAAGTTAAGATAAAAGCATCATTTAAGTGAGACTGCAAACAAAAACAGTTTTTTTGTTTGTTTTGTTTTTTGTTTGCATTTGGTTTTCAATCTTGAACAAGCAAAAATCTGGGCTCAACATAATGTCAATGTCCAAAGTGAATTTTTGGAAATCGGTAAAGAAAATTATCTGATTTAATTTAAAAAATTAATTTTCTAATAATCATAATGTAAAGTAGTCAAAGGGTTCCTCTTGGTTTGGAGTCTGGGAGCAAGTCTGGGAGAATTTTATGTTATTTGTCTGGCTTTTGGCAAAAATATAGTTGGTTAAAAATGGCATGAGCCTTAATTGCACAGTTAAGCCTAGATAAATTGTTATTCTTTTTTTATCATGTTTATCTTTTTTTTATCTTGTTTAGAATTATATAAATTCAAAAACTTTTAAAAAAATAAAAAAAATGTAAACAAAATTGCATCCAAACATTTTATATTTGACAAATTAAATATTTTTTCACAGATTTTTTAAAAGACCTACCCAAACAATAGCATCTTCACTAAACTAAAATACTGTTAATTAAATAATACAGTACTTTGAACCTTATCAAAAACAAAGAGAGACAAAATCAACAATCATTAAGAAAAATAACATGTGAAAACATGTGGTATTTATTATAACTGGTATGGAATTTATATGAAAAAATTGTTTTGCTTATTAATATTTACCTATAAGTAAGTTCCAGTCTCTCAAATTGGATCAAAACCGTTACAAAGAAATAAAAAACTAAACAATTAGAGGATAAGAAAAAGTGTTTATTTAAAAAAAAAGTGTTTATTGAAATAAAAAGTGTTTATTAAAATAAAAAGTGTTTATTGAAATAAAAAGTGTTTATCGAAATAAAAAGTATTTATTGAAAAAAAAAGTGTTTATTTAAAAAAAAGTGTTTATTGAAATAAAAAGTGTTTATTGAAATAAAAAGTGTTTATTGAAATAAAAAGTGTTTATTGAAATAAAAAGTGTTTATTGAAATAAAAAGTGTTTATTGAAATAAAAAGTGTTTATTGAAATAAAAAGTGTTTATTGAAATAAAAAGTGTTTATTGAAATATAAAGTATTTATTGAAAAAAAAAGTGTTTATCGAAATAAAAAGTGTTTATTGAAATAAAAAGTGTTTATTGAAATAAAAAGTATTTATTGAAAAAAAAAGTGTTTATCGAAATAAAAAGTGTTTATTGAAAAAAAAAGTGTTTATTGAAATAAAAAGTGTTTATTGAAAAAAAAGTGTTTATTGAAAATTTTTATTTTATTGAAAAAAAAAACTGTTAAAGAAAATTAAGGAATTTACTGGGATTTAAAAGATTTTACATCTTCAGACAATCTTGCTGTGAATCTTACAATAAAATGGAGATGCATTTCCAGTTTATGTTAAATTTATGTTTCAGGTCTTTATTTTGAAAATAACTCTGCAGAGAATGCTTTACACTTGGTCAATACTTGATTTATACTTAAAGAAGTTATACAAGTTGTGGGCTGACCGTTATTTAAAACTTAAGACAGCATTTAGAATCTTAAATAAAAAACCTAAACTATTCATTAAATATGAAATATGAAAATATGAAACAATTTACATTCAAAAAGTTATACCTTTCTCCCAAGTAATCAAACTTTATAAACTATGAAGAAATGGGTGGGACAACATTCCTCCAACTTGGTGCAAAAAAAAAAAAATTTGATGGTATTTACAAAGTATTTATACGAATGTACCCCCTCCCTCCCCCATCTTTTATATGTATACAAATTAGATTTTTTCTATTTTTGGACCACTGGGATAAATCATAAGATTTTGCTAATTTTTTTTCTTTTATTCTGAAAATGATATGTATAAATAAAGAAATAATAATCCAAAAATAAACCTGAACTAGCATTTTTATCTCTTGGTATCTTAGGTGAAACTTTAAATGAACAAGTCAAATTTTTTTGATATGCCATTGTAACAACTTTTAATACACCAAGTGTGTTTTGATAACTCAGCTTCACTGGAATTTCAATTGAAAAGTCACTAAAACATTTTCTTTTGTTTACCTTCAATGTAATGTTGTGTGTAGTTACTCCTTTAGTTTTAAAATATCCAGAAAACTAAATGTAAAAATTTTAGATTTTTTGCATAAAATGATTGATTTCTTTTTTTTTTTTTTCCACATTACAAAAAACATGTTTTTTTAAATTTGTTTTATAATGTAAAGTTTGTCAATAAAAGAATGAATCTGTTAACACATAGGTAATCTAGTAACAAATGAATCTGAAAACGAATGAACCTGGTAACAAATAAACATGGTAACAAATAAACCTGGTAATAAATGAATATGATACTAACTGGTAAACAATGAATGAAACTGGAAACAAAGATAAATAGTTTAATTATACTTCAAGTAAATTTAATAAAATTTTACTTTTTTATAATACTTTTCTTATATATTTTTTATATTATTGCTTACTTATAATATAAATTATATAAACTTATTTGTATAAAACAATGGTTATTTTATTTTGATATTATTAATTGCTTTTTAACTGAGTTTTACAAACAGTATGTATTAGAATTTACTTCTATACTTTTAAAAAAAGAGAAAACAAAAACTGTTCAAAAGTAGTTATAATTTTCTTATATAGTTATAATAAATTTTTTACATATTTTTATGGCTTTTTATATCATAATAAATCAGAAGTTTATCAAACAAAAGAAAGTTTTCATTCCATAATAGATTTAAAACCTAATTTAAAAGATAAAAAAAAATGTAAAAGTTTAAAAAAATAAAAAACTCACAATATACTTAAATTGAGCAGAATTTAATTTTAAAAATCCATGTAGAACACTTTCTGAAGCAAAGGTAACAAACGGCGGAAAAAAATATTCTATTGTTACATTATAGCCACTCCCATTCAATTGAAGAGATATATTTAGAATATCTCTAAAAAGACATAAATTTTTTTTTATAATACAATTAAAAAAAAAAAACTTACAATAACAAAAATATTAATAACAACTTTACATTTAATATAATATTAATATAAATAATATAATCAAATGACACAATTGAACATATTATTTTGTTAGAAAAAATAGTTTTTTTCTTGTAACAAGATAATGCTCAAAGCTTGTAAAGGTCGCTATAAAATTTTCCAGACAAGTATCTAAAAACAACAACAACAAATATTCAACAACAAATATTCAACAACAAATATCCAACAACAAATATCCAACAACAAATATCCAAAAGCAATTATCAAACAACAAATATCCAACAACAAACATCCAGCAATAAATATCCAAAGGCAAATATCCAACAACAAACATCCAACAACAAATACCCAACATTCAATCCTTTATTTAAAGTTTTAAAAAGTAAAACAAATTTTAATAAACTTTTTTCTTTTCAAGCAAAATATGATGATGTTATCATTATTTATTAAAATAACAAATATAAAATAATATTAATAATGAATAATAATTAAAAAATTTACAATAATGATAAAACTAATAATTATAGTAATTTTAGTGATACTATAATGAAAATATTAAATAAAAACAAAATAGAAACTAACCATAATAAAAAAAAAAACAACTAAATATTAATAATAGAAAGGATAATAACGATAATAAATAATAATAAAAGAAATAATACTTAGATCATATCAATAATAAATACTTTTAAAAGTTAAAAATACTAATAACAAGATAACTAATAAAACTTATTATAGAAAGGAAATAATGTTATAAATTTAAAGAGTTAAAAAAAAAACATTAAAACTTTTATAGGGAGAAGTGGTTAGTTAAGCTGGTGGAATGAATAATAGAAGAATTATTAATAACATAATCTTTGGCAAAAAAAATGATAAAAAAAGCTACATAGAAAGCTATTATCTGCTATAAAGACATATTCATTTGTACAATTTTGATAGCATGAATTTATGTGGCGCAGTGGTTAAAGTGCTTGCTTTATAAGCAGGAGATCCAGGTTCGAAACAAGCCTTGGACATATTTTGTGTCACAGTAAGGAAGAAGGCGTGAACTTCCTGGTTAAATGCATTTCCATGGTGCTCTGTGACAAGACCGTTAGGTCATCTTAAGGCACCTGGAAAGAGTTAACTTATATTTCTTCTTTTTCCAAATATTTTAGTAAAAGATACAAGTTTTTTTTTTTTTTTTTTTTTTTTTGTAATAAGAAACACTTTTTATAATCAGCTTGAAATTTCTTAAAATAAAAAAAAAAATAATAAGGACTTTACTGTAAAGTTTACATAATGTATATATGCAACATAATTAGATTAGTAAAGTATAAAAAAAAGCAGTACTTTGTATATGAAAGCGCAAGTCTTTTTTTTGTACCCATACACACAAGTATACACAGAGAAAATTTATTAAACAATTATTTCAAGTTATCATACTTTTCAACAAATCCATGAACGCAGCTATCCATATGAATGTCTAAATTATGAAAAATATATAAGTTGTGAGCGTATTTAAGTAAATAACAATAATTTATTAACATGATTAACATACCAATAATTTATTAACATGATAGCTAATAATTTATTAACATGATAGCATAACAATAATTTATTAACATGATAGCTAATTGCAACAAGTAAAACAAAAATTTCATTCATACATTTTTTTACCAACAACTTTTAAATGGTAAATTTTAATAACGTTAAAAACCTTAAATTTTCAATATTTTAGCTGTTTTATAAAATTTTAAAGATAAAATTTTTAATGTTCATTTTGTTATGAGCGTATTTTTTATACCATACTTTTATAATTTTTAATATTTTTATCATTTTGAACACTTAATGAATAATAATAAGCTGTGTATGCTTGAACGCAGAAAAATTGCAAAGATCGTACATAAGAAATCTAAAAATTGTTTGCTTGTACGCAGAGAAAATTGTAAAGATCTAGATAGTTCATAAGAATAAACTCTGAATCTAAAAAATTAGAAATCAATTGGAAAAGAAATCTAAAAAGAGAAACATACATATTTTGAAAATGTGGAAAATTGTTTAGGTAAAATATCCAGAAAAAAATCTGAAATATATTTACCTCCATTTTCCTCTTAATTTTGCTTTTAACTGATTTGTTTCGAATTATTTTGTTTAAACTTTTCTTAATTTTTCTATGAGTGATGAGTGAATAAGCTTAAAAAACAAATATATTTCAAAAATATACACCTAAACTTGTATGCATGGAAAACGTTTTGGATATTGGGTACAAATATATTTATGTCAGCTCAGGTTATCCTTCTACTGGTAACATGTAACCCAGTACAACCTTTTCGATGTCCTGCTGCCTTGTATTGTATGCTTTTTTTGGAAAAGGCTAGAAGAAGCCAACTCTGACTTAAAAAACCCCTTGGCTAGAGATGGTGTCTCTATAAAAATACTCATCTTGGGCAGACATTAAATGCATCTGGTAACTGTCTTGTAGAAGGCCTCCTAGGTAATATACTTAATGGGTAAACAGATTCTATCTGTTGACCAACCTTGCACTCCTTCATCATCTATTAGGCTGGCGTAGATGTATTTGTAATACATTGTTTCCAGTTTAGGATGTTGAATGATGGATCTTTTTGACTCAATGCATGGGTTTAGCTTGTGTCTCTTAAAAGCTGTATCCTCATTAGGAGATAATAGAATGAGTTACTTAATTGTGTTTTTACAACTAAGTAACTCATTCTATTATCTCCTAAAAGGGTACAACTTTTAAACTCAGTTTTATGATTTTGAGGTTGGTAGTCAGGTTTTCCAAGCTCCGTGGTTGCTTTCACAGAGGCTGATTCAATCAAAAGCTGTAAAATATCAGAGTACATGTGACAGTGCCATGTTGCACATGGATAGAGTCCCTATATGTACTTTTTGTGTATATTGTCGAGACCACATTTGGATCCCATTGTTACGGCTTAAGGTTTATTAGTAGTAATGAGACAATTGCTTTAACTATTAAATAGTGTACTGAGTACTATCTGTGCTTTGAGTCAAGTTTTTGAACAAATTTAAAAATAACTAAAGTATCAAAACTATATAATACAAAAAATCATTGTCATCACCAAGCTCTTTTAATCTATTATTCACTAATATTTGTGGTCTTTTAAGTAACTTTTCTTCTGTTGAGTCATCTCTTGCAAAGTTCACAAGACCTAGTTGCTCTTTGTGAGACTAACTTGAGTTCAGCTGTCTCATCTCGTGATCTTAGTGTTGATGATTATCTTCCTTTAATTCATAAAGACTCCAATATTCACATGGTTAACATGGGCATTTACATTGATAAGAATTCACCCACTTGTTGGGAGACTAGATTTGAATCCACAGACTATACTTTTATGTGCTTTTGATTAGCACTACTTCACTATATCACCTTTCTCTTTGTTTTATATCACTTGTTCTATATCACATCCTTTATCTCAAGACTGCACTCTTTTTTGTGGTATTTCTGATCTAATTAACCAAGACCTCTCTCTTTATCCATCAGCCAATATTATTATTGTAAATGACTTTAAAACTCATCACACTGAGTGACTTGGCTCTAATGTCAGTGACTCTGCTAGCATTAAGGCCCGCAACTTTTGCCTTTTTTAATCTCTAATACAAAAATTCAACTTTCCTACTCACTTTCCAGACAATCCAAATCATTTGCCTTCTCTACTCGATTTATATCTTGTCTCTGATCCTAGTCAGTGCTCAGTTTCTCTACATTCACGCTTAGGCGCTTCTGATCAAAGTTTGATCTCTTTAAAACTATTGCCTTATTCTTCTTCATCATCAGAATCCCCCTTTCATTGTACCTCTTAAAGCTATCCAAAAGCTTTTCGTGCTGGCCCTTGGGTAGAAATTTTTGGTCTTCTTATTTACCAATAGGACTAGTTGCGTTCTACCTGATATAGCTGACAAACAGGTTGATCTATAGCTCAACATTTGTATCACACCAGCTTCTGTATCTAAAGTGATTTTCTGCTTAGACTCAGAAATATTATCCAGGCCTGTCGCCTATACTTTCAAAACTATTTAACAAGTGCATATTAGAGTCTTGTTTTTCAGCCTGCTGGAAAATGGCATCAGCTATCCCTATTTTCAAAAAATCTGAAGAGCAATCTGACTCGACTAACTACCACCCCATTAGTCTTCTTCCTATCATAATCAAGGTTTTTCATTTTTAAATTAATAAACACTTAATATATTATCTTGAATCTAATAACTTACTTTCAGATCATCAATATAGATTTCGATCTTCTTGTTCTACTACTGATTTGTTAATGGTAATAACTGATAGACTTTATCGTGCATTAGATAGATGTGAAGAGGCTAAGGCTATTGCTTTCAACATTTCTAAAGCATTTGATAAAGTTTGGCATTCTGGTCTTCAGGTAAACATAGTTTGACCTGCTCTTACAGCCAACCTCCAACCATTATCACATCATTTTAATGTTGTTTTTCTTTCTTTTATCTATAAATACTATATGGGCAGTCATCTAAAGAGCTAGCTTGTCTCTTGTGCATCTTCTAAAATTCATTCTTGTGTTACCTATCATTCAATTAAGTCTCATCCTTTTACTGTCACTGGTCCTAAGTACTCTAAAAATTCTTATTTATCCAGGTTTTTTGCCTCAAACATCAGTCCTTTGGAATTTGCTTCATCTTGTTTTCGTTATTCATATAATTTGCTTCATCTTGTTTTCGTTATTCATGTAATTTGCAATATTTTAAGTTTTCTGTTAATCGTTATCTTGCTCTATAAAACTTATTTTTTTTCTTATCGTAACTTCCAAATCTAAGCCTGTTTCCAATATATTTAATGTTATAGATACAAATTGCATAGAATATAATAAAAGTGTGCAAAAGCTTATTAACAGAGGACAAGCTCTGCTTCAAACTAGAAAACTCAGTTAGCCCAAAAAAAAATTTAATTGGCAATCAGATTGAATTTTAATATTGAGCCTTGGTTGTCTTGGTTACAAAGTTAAAATACTGTTACTGTAAATGTTAATCTGATAAACCAAATAAAAATTTTAATCACGTAAAAAAAAAATATATTTAGCAATGACGCAATATTTGGAAATAGCATGATATGATTAAAGTCCTGATTTGAGGTGCACGCTATGTGTTGTAAGTCAAAAATTAAAATGTTGATTAACAATGTTGTTAAAATGCCTACAATGTCTATAATATTTTTAATAAATGAAACTATTTTATAACTTAATAGTTCGTTATCAATAGCTACCTTTAGAAATAAAATATAAAATTATACAAAAAAAATTTGCTTGACATACTTCCAACCAATGTTTTTACATTTTTAGATGCTGCTACACCACAACCAACTTTAGTACAAGCTGCCACAGAACAATTGTAGTAGGTTTCTGGAACAAGATTATCCACAGTTACAATAAAAGTATTATTACCAACATTGTTTGAAACACTATATTCAGAGCTGAAACATGTATATAAATACATTACTATAATCCCTTTTCTTGATGAAAATTCAACTTTATCCCATGACAACAACAAAGCAGTAGAACTAATTGTTGCAACATTTAAATTACTTGGACAACCAGTTGGAACTAAAAATTGATTTTATATATAAAAAAAAAAAACTATAAAGAAAAACTATTAATAATCATATACTAAAAATGTACTAAAATAAAGAAAAACTATTTCAAGATTTATGCAAAAAAGAATTTAAAAATTGCTTAAAGTATTTATAAAATTGTTATATATATATATATATGTAAATATATATATATATATATATATATATATATATATATATATATATATATATATATATATATATATATATATATATATATATATATATATATATATATATATATATATATATATATATATATATATATATATATATATATAGAATGATGAATGAAATGATTGCTGCTTACCATAATCCATACGGATTTTTTAGAAAAAGAAGAAAAAAAACGAAGAATGATGAATGAAACGATTGCTGCCCCATCCCAAACCCTCAGTCGATGTAGCAGCACTCCACTGCGAGTCAGGCTATTTGTCAGTCGATGTATGTACTGAAGCCCCCAGCAATTTAATCGTTGATCTTTTCTCAAGTTTTTATTATAAGTTAAGGCTTTAAAATAAAACTATATAATTAATTCTTTTGTTAATGATTGTTTACATAAACACGTGTGTAAATTATTAAAAAATGTTATATATAAATTTTTTTTTTATGTAGGAATGTATTTTTCATGATAAATTTAAACGTTTGAAACAATTTTCTCATGTCTTCCTAAAAATCTTTTAAAGCATTAATATTAGAAAATTTTTTTTAAAGTTACTTTAATTTATAAATAAGTTCAAAACCTTTTGCGACTACTAGCTTTTATACATTTACATTTAGCTTATAAATGTGAATTATACAAGAATATAAAAAATGACTTTATTTACTTATATAAGCATGTATTTTGTAATGTTTATAAGATAAAATTTTATAATTAAACTAACAATTTTTTAAAATCTTTTAAAAACAAACATTTTATTTAAAATTTTTTTTTTTTTTTTTTTCGATTACGATAGGAATGAATGAGTTAAAATTATTTATAATAATTTTTAAATTCGTTACGTGAAGCGCTTATTAATAAAGTTGTAATGCTCAAATTAAAATTAAATTGCTTGTTTGCAGTTTATTTTATTTAAATCGCAGGCGCGTTTTATTTATTTCTTTTTTCCTATTTTTACAAATAAAAGAGTTGGAAACCTTTTTTTTTAAACCAGACTTACTAACTAGAGCATTACAACTTTATTAATATTACTGTTTTACTAAATCTACTATTTTAAAAAAAATTTTGTATGCAACTTTATTGAAAAAATAGATGTTTACAACTTAAAAATATTAAATACAATACTTTTTAATAAATTTGATAAAATTTGTTCATTTATTAAATTTAGTAATTTGCCACTTAATTTAAAAGCGTTTTGTGAAACTTTAATAAAACATTTAAAAAAGATTCATTTCAAACATAATTAATAACGTAACAAAAGTTTTGCTTCGAGTTTAAGTTTTTATTTTTAATTTTTATTTTAGTGCTTATATAATTTTTTTTTCGTAAATATTTTTTTTTCGTTAGTTTTTTTTTTTTATCTTTTTTCCTTATTTAAGTTTAACTTAGCGTTTCTACATTCAGCGTACTTTTGAAATTTTTAAATCATCAAAACATATATATATATATATATATATATATATATATATATATATATATATATATACATATATATACATAGATATATACATAGATATATATATATATATATATATATATATATATATATATTATTATTATTATTATTATTATTATTATTATTATTATTACTATTATTATTATTATTATTATTGCTATTATTATTAATATTATTATTATTGCTATTATTTTTTTGTTTCAGAGTTATAAGAATAGTAATTCAACAACTATTGATGAAATTGAGAAACTATTGAGAAAAAAAATAATAGTAATGCAAAAAGAATAGCAACAAGAGAAAAAAAAATGTTATAACCTTTTATACAAAAACTTACTATCTTGATCTGTTTGATAGAAAACTACATTCCCAAACACATAAACACCAAATTCATTTCTTACACCTGCCGATAACTGATAAACAGTGTAACTTTGTAATGAAGGAATAACAGCTGAACCATTTGTGAGATTATACAGCATGGTTACATTATTTGGATCTGTATACTTAACAACAAACATTTTTGATATATTCCAGGCTGGTATGAACAGATTAATAGTGACATTTACTGAATATCTGTCAATGCTTTCAACTGATATAATGTTCAGATCTGAAAATAAGAATAACAAATATATTACACAAGTGAGGTATAAATAATTAATTTTAAACAACCTATTAAATTTTAATATTTAGTTTTATTTAAAAAAAAAAGAATTAAATTAAATTAATAGATTTCATTATTTGCATTTTTTTTGGTTACACAATTAAATACATTAAACCAAAAATTTTCATGTTTAATTTGTCACATTTTTGATACAAATTAACAGATCTGACAAATGTTGTTTATCAAAATAGATAATCAAAAAGGTTTGAATTATTTATTTGATATTTTTTTATCAAGTCAGTATGTATTAATGTAATGAAATTATTTATGTAAATAAAATTATTAAATTATAATATCATTAAATTGATATAATATAATGAAGTATAACATAATAAAATTTTATTAATTTTATATTTTTAGCACACTTGTGATTTTTGAATAAAATCAGTTCATTTGTCATTTTTTTATCAGATATATTAATACCATTTTTTATTTAATCTAAACCTTTCAAATCATATCAGTTATATTTTGAATCAGATCCTTGCAATACTTCACTAAAAATCTATATTTTGAAAATAAGTTATTTTCTGTAGAAATTTCATGTAATGTATTTTCAAGGTATTACCTTTTTAGTTTCTGATTTATTTTGCTTTGCTATGGCTACTTTTATGTTAGCAGTATTAACAGACAACACAATACTTTGTCAATTAGTATTTTCCATTTGTTTCAATAATTCTTTAGAAGCTTTAATGCTTTTAAACCTGTGTAATGACCTACCACTTTTTAGAGTTGAAGCATCGTTGTCATTGACTTAAAATTTTCTATATAAGGATCACAACTAAAACAAGTCTTATCACTAGTGGAACATATTTAATCATAAATGCCTGAGAGAAAAGAAGTGATTAAAAACTGAGAGAAAAGAAGTGATTAAAAATTGAGAGAAAAGAAGTGATTAAAAATTGAGAGAAAAGAAGTGATTAAAAATTGAGAGAAAAGAAGTGATTAAAAATTGAGAGAAAAGAAGTGATTAAAAATTGAGAGAAAAGAAGTGATTAAAAATTGAAAGAAAAGAAGTGATTAAAAATTGAGAGAAAAAAAGTGATTGAAAATTGAGAGAAAAGAAGTGATTAAAAATTGAGAGAAAAGAAGTGATTGAAAATTGAGAGAAAAGAAGTGATTGAAAATTGAGAGAAAAGAAGTGATTAAAAATTGAGAGAAAAGAAGTAATTAGAAAATGTGTCAGTGTAATAGTTATACTGTAATTAAACAGATGTTCAGTGTTAAAGCAGGTAATTGAGAGAAGAAAATAGGAACACAGTAATCCTGTCTTTGTATTTAATTTAAATTTTAATTTTAATTCTTCTATTTAATTTATCTAATTAAATAGAGTTGCTTGTGTTATGTTTAATTTCCAATTAGTTTCATATGGTTTAATGCAATTCTTCGTTTTATATTTATATTAATGTTAACTTTTGAATATTTTAGTACAAATAATTGATTTAGTTTTAACTTAGTTTCTAAAATTATTCGTAATATGATTTGTTCTATATTTAGTTTCTACTTAGTTTAACTAATATGCTTAAAAATGGTAATATTGATATGGTTATATAGAGATTTTTTGTGTTATGTTTAATTTACATTTAGTTTCATTTGGTTTAATGTGATTCTTCATTTTATAATTATATTATAACTAACCTTGGTATATTTAAGTACAAATATATGGTGGAACTTTTAACTTAGTTTAATTTATGTTGTTATTAGTAAAGCCCTTCATATTTAGTTTCTATTTAGTTCAACTTATATGGTTTATTTAAGTCACTCATTTTATATTCAGTTAATACACAAATTAATATATACACTTTAGTATAGTCATTAATTTAGCATTTAGTTTAAATTTAGTTTAAATTAATACGGCATATTATAGATATTTGTTTCATATTAAATTTATTTTATTCCAGTTATACAGTTTAGTGATGTTATTTGATTTGTTTTTAGTTTATATTTATAAGAATTATATACCATTATTTGAAACTATTTTGTCATCCAAAGGCAGTTTATAGAACACATGTAAGTTGTAAAATTGTATGCCAAGGTGTTGTATGATGTAGTTTGCAGTTAATCAATAAAAAAAAATATCTTTTAAGCTAAGTCTCAGTAAATAATAATGCTATTGGTCAAAGAAAGTGTTAATTGATTGGATAATGAAAGTGTAAGGTGATTGGTTAATAATGTGTTTGGAGAGCATAAAATAAAAAATATAGAAAACATTCGAAAGTGTCTTAAATTATTAAAAGAACATATTCAGAGGAAAGGTATTGTGAGATTGAAGACATATAATACAGTGAAAAGTTCTAATTTGTCTCTTAGGTCCCCAATGCACGACAAAATACATTAACACAATTTTTTTAGGTAAATAAAGTTTACAAACAGTTAGTTTACAAACTGCAAAGTTTGAATTTGAAAGATTTTAAATTTACTTAAATTAGTTTTAAATGGTTTGAACTAATATGTATTTGCCGGAGTGGTATTAGCAATGTACAATAAGCTAAAAAATATGCACGAAAACAGTAAAAAAGACAAACAATGTATTACAGATGTGCACCTAATACAATTATGAGACAGTATATGTCAATCCAGTTCTACTCATGTAGTTAATGATCCAGGCATAATAGGTGATAGCTGTAAAAACTACTTAAAACAAATTGTTCAGTCACATTACCTACAACATCTTCAACTCGTTGACCTGTTAGTGAGAAGTTCTTACTGCTAACGTCTCACACAGCCAAGAAATTAACAGAGCAGCATTTGAGAGTACACTTGAATAAATATCCACAGCCACAGTAAAAGAGACACACAAAGATTTACAAATATAACAATGCAACTAGAATTATTCTGAGACAGTTGGTCCAAAACTAATCATGCAAATCGTGATCCTGGTATGTTATGTGAAAGCTCAAAGAATTAATTAGGACGAATCAATCATTTGGATTACCCAGAACATCTGTGATTCATTGAACTATTGGTGAGACGTTCTTATTGCAAACACCCCACACAACAACCAGATCATTAGAAAAGTGTCTGAGTGTACATAGAAATATCCATGAAAACAGTAAAAAAGACATTCACTGTATCAATGATGTGTCTATGTATCTAATACAATTATGCAACAATGAGTATAGGTCAAACTAGTACTACTCATACAGCTTGTGATCCAGGTATAGCAGGTGATAGCAGTATAAAACACTATTATAAAACACTATATAAAACGAATTGTTCAATTGGTTTACCTGGAACATTTTCAATTTGTTGACCTGTTGGTGAGAGGTTCTTACTGCTGATATTCCACACAGCCAAGAAATTACCAGAACAGCATTTAAGAGTACACCTGAATAAGTATTCACAACCCTAACCCTGACCTACCACTTTTTGAAGTTAAAGCACTGTTGTTATTGACTTAAAATTTTTTAATACAGTTTATTGTAGGGTTGTTCGCCGAAAAACAAAACTTGCAAAAATTTCGCATCTTTATCTACCGTAATAGAATTGTTATTGCGGAAGTTGCACATGCAAAAATGCACTTTCCGTAACGCGCTATACGAAAATATAAATAAATAAAATTCCGTAATAAAGCATTGCGAAAAAAAGCTTGCGAAACAAATCATTTTGTAAGAATACTTACGAAATAGTTCCTTACGGAAAAAGCATTCCGGAATGGTTACGAAAAAGACGCAAAAGATTTTATGTTACGATATATTTAAGATGTTAACTGTTAACAGTTTAAATAATAAATAATAAAAATATAAAAAAATGTTGTCAAATGATTCTTCAAATGTTTATACAAATATACCTAATATATATATATATATATATATATATATATATATATATATATATATATATATATATATATATATATATATATATATATATATATATATATATATATATATATATATCTATATGTATATATATATATATATATACATTAACAGGATTTTACTGTATATATTTGTATATATATGTATATATATATATATATATATATATATATATATATATATATATATATATATATATATATATATATATATATATATATATATATATATATATATATATATATATATATATATATATGTATATATATATATATATATATATATATATATATATATATATATATATATATATATATAAATATATAAATATATATACAGTAAAATCCTGTTAAGTTGTACTCTCAATGAACAGATAAACAGTATGCCTTTCTTTTTAAAAAGTATAAAGAAGATGTGTGATAAACAATTAAATAATTTATTATAAAGAACGAGAGATCTCTCTAAAGGTAAATGATATCAGAAAGAGTAAAAAGAGAAGAAATATATGTGAAACAGCGAGATGTGAACCTGGGTCTACGCGGCCAAATGTCTTAACTGAATGAGCTATACGTTCATTCAACTAAGTGAATAGTAATATTTATTTAATATATAATTAAGAAACTATATAAAACAGAATTTACAGAAAGAGATACGTATGCAAATAGGATTCTATATATCAGATGAATCAAATGAATAGTAATGTGAACCTTTAGATGCTTATAATTAATATCTGGACTCAAAAACTAGTTACTTTTAATGGAACACAATAGGCTGTAGGAGCCTCAGGGAAATTATATTCAGAAATGGTTATATTAGACTCAGAGTTAGCTAGAAATTATTACAAAGTATTTAAGACAGATGTCTAGTACAAAAAGCAAAAGATTTAAAGCAAAATGATTTATATTATTTGAAAAAGTTGTTTTACGTACATTTCATCATAATTTAAGTAGAACTTAGTAAAGCAAGGGAAACGTGTTGAATTAAGCACAATGAACTCAAACTTAAAAAAATAACTAACAGAAAAGAGGTTGTCACTATTGTGAAGTTGACGAAAGATCTGTAATATAGAACATGGAGGTCAAAAAATGCTATCTTAAGTAAAAAGAGTTTGATAAACAAAAGTTACAATGGCTGCGGGATGCGAACCCGGATCTCTGCGGCGAATTATCACGTATCTAACTGATTGAACTATACAATCTTATACTCAAATTTATATTTTATTAAAATTAAAAAACAATATTTTCTAAGATCTATACTTCGAAAAGCGTATTCAAACAGGACTCTACATACCTTTAAAATCTGCTAGAACTTTAGTAACGTGCACACTTTTAGAAATTATTGAAATAGGTATATTTTATCAGAAATATGCTTAAGCTAAAGCATATTTTTGAGCCTCTTTTTACTATTTGCTTAAGCATATTCAAACCTGTTTCAAAAATTTCATATGCTTTAAAAAAAAAACATGTATATTCCTACCCGTCATTCTTATTTTTAATATACGTAATGAGTTCAAAAAATGTATATATTTATTATGGCACGTTTCGTAAGTTTATTTCCGTTAAGAATTCTTTCGTATGTTGTAATCCAAAATACTTTCGTTTCAAAAGAAATTTTATTTTTTATCAATATTTCTAAAAATAAAACCATAAAAATTTAATAGTTATTATACTGAAAATAAAAATTCATTATAAACATTTTGGGATTTAAAGATGTTAATTTTTACAATTAAAATCAGTCTGGCAAACAAATTTTCTTTATAGACTTCAAAACGTCGTTTGGCAAAAATGTTTGTTTCGCAAGTGCGACTTCCGAAACCGCTACTTTTGTATGTTGCAAAATAGTTTTGTTTCGTATGTCAACTTGCGAAATGCTAAATTTCGGAAGTGGCTTTTGCGAAATGAACATCGGCGATTTTAAATGTTTTGTAACATTCGGTACGAAAAAATGTAATTCTGTGTCCTCAATCTCCTTACGAAAGAATGTTGTTTTTCCGGAATTGCACGAAATCCTCTGGTTAACAACCCTAGTTTATTGTTGATAAATAAAAGCTTAAAATAAAATATAAATAATAATAAAGTAATAATAATAAAAATAATAGTAATAATAAAAATAATAATAATAATAATAAAACATAAATAAATAATGATAAATAAAAGCTTAAAAGATTAATAAAACACTCTGATTTCTAGCCCATCAGTCAGCGCTGAAATTTCCAAATTTCTGTTTGCTACATTATAAAAAATGTCTCTTTTTATTTTTTCATAAACTAGATAAAAAGCTATTGTTTTTTGCTAGCATAAATAGTGTATATAGGTTCAAGATGTTTAATTAGTTGGTTAAGTTTTTGGTCTGTAACAAAAAAGTAAGGTTGAATATTTATTTCATTTCCAATAAGCAAAGTTATACTTTTAAATCATGATGTACTTGATGATTGTTACTGAGCTTATAGTTAAGTACATTATGTAACTATTTTATTGAAAATTAAAAAAAGTTAATTAACAAAGATGATGGAAAACTTTACCATCTTTATTTGTTTGGAAGTAAAACAAATTTCCATACACATAGAAACCAAATTCATTTTGAAGACCTGCAGAAAACTCATATATAGTGTAGCTATGTAATGAAGTAATAAGAGCAGAACTTCCAGTAACATCAAATAAATTGATATCATTATTTGGGTCTTTACTTTTAATTACATAATAGTCAGATATATTAAAGATTGGTGTATTTACATCAATGGTAATATTGATAGAATATCTTGTAATTTGTTCAATCTTTAAAATGGTCAAGTCTAAAAATAAATAATAAAATAAAGTTCAATTATAATTATTTTATCGCTTAATTTAATAAAAAAACTTAAAAATGTAAGAGGGTTGTAACAATCATTTTAAATTAAAATAAATTAAAGTAATTATCATTGCAATTAGTAAATATTCTACTTATTGTTTTTATATATATATTAGATTTTGCTTGGTTCATTATTCCAAGATACTTGCTATTATAAATTAAATATAAAGTGCTGTTATAACTGATTATATAAAGTATTTATATTATAAAAGGTTTTAATCTTTAAAAAAATCTTAAATATCAATAAAAATCAATAAAAGTTATGATGCCTTTGGTGTTAATTATTTATCAAAATCTTTGATAAATGTTATTTTACATGAAACCTTTGTTTAATGTTGTTTTACATGAAATCTTTGTTAAATGTTATTTCACATGAAATCTTTGTTTAATGTTATTTTACATGATATCTTTGTTTAATGTTATTTTAGACCAATTACTAGCATTGCGTAAGTAGTAGTCTTATGTAAAGTAAATTTTATTTTTATCCTGCAAAACCATATTTAACCTCATTAAGTTGCACTATGTGGAATTTTCATTTTTTTTGTTGTAAGAAAAAACAACTAATTTCCTTAAAGAAAATCATTTGTACTACTTTTTCTATTTAAACATCAAGGTATGTAACCATCAAGTTATGTAACCATCAAGGTATGTAACCATCCAGTTATGTAACCATCAAGGTATGTAGCCATCAAGGTATGCAACCAGGTAAAATAGCATTACTAGAACTACTGTTAATGTCTTCCAAAAGGGTGTGTTATAAAAAGGTTGTGCTATCAAAAGGTTGTGCTGTCGAAAGGCTTTTAAATTGCTTATGGTTCATTTCTTATAACAATTTTCAATACTTTGTCTATTTCAACAATTAAGATGGGTGTTGCTTAAATTTTTCTTAAATAAATTAAGTTAAATAAAAACAAAATAGAACTTCTTTTTCGATAGAAAAATTAAACTCTTTCAGACCCAGTCATTGGAGGACACCTCTTTGTGCATATGCAAACCAATTTTTAAATATCAAATAAAATTTACTTCTAAAAAACCCTTTTGACCCAGAAAAAAAGGACATAGAAAAAGTGTTTTTAAAATTGGTGGATAAACACTTTCTGCCCTCTAATAAATTACATAAAATTTTTTATTCAAATACAATTAGAGTTGTTTGCATAAAAAATGTGAAAAGATTTATAAGAGGTAACAAAGTTTTGTTAAATAAAAAAGAAATTCTAAATGAAAAAGTTCCAGAAAATTGTAATTGTAAACAAAAAAACAATTACCCAATAGGTGAACAATTACCCAATAGGTGAAACAATTACCCAATAGGTGTATGTTTATCAAAAAACGTGGTAGATAAACAGGTTGTTTCTTTTAAAAATGTACCTGATAAACAATATATTTGCTTAACAGAAAAAAAATGCTTTGCCAACACTATGCGCTCAAAACACATATGGGAATTGGAAGTTAAAAAATTGATGATTTTATATTAAATTGGTTCATTCTTAAAACAGCACCTGTATATTATAATAAATTTCCAAAAAATAATATACAGTATAAGTTTTTAAATGACTTTGCTGAATGAATAAGTAAAGCAAAGAATGAGTTTTAGTATATTTTACTAAAAATTTCTTCATTCATAGAGCTTATTAGCAAGTTTCATACGGAAAAGGCTGGGCACTAATATTTGAGCTGTAGGGAAAAAATTTAATATTGCCTTTGTTTACGTTTAAAAGCTGTAATACAGTAAAACAAAGATAAATATAAAAATTTATATAATTATAACTATTTATTTATTTATTATTACTTATTATCCTTTAAAAAAAGATTTGTTGAAAATAAATAATAATATTGAAAACTTTCAACGGATTTTATTAGTCTGTTTAAAAAGGGCTTATAAATTATAGCATTATCAACCACAAGGTCTAATATTATAAATTAAATTCTTTATCAGTGATAAAGAATTGTAATTTGCACACATGTAATACATAAATGACATAAAAAACAAAAAGTTTTTATCCCATTTCCGATTTTAAGAAACACATATTTGGTACTCTCTGTAGATCAAGGATATCGATCTTCAATGAAGGATAGTTTAAGATTCAGATATGACCCTGAAGGCTCAAATTTTAAATTTAACATTAAAATAATGACAAAATATTCAAATAAATAATCTTACTAAACTAAATAAATAATCAATAAACACACAAAGATCTATTAAAAATTATACTATAAAGCCAATTTGAAAAATACTATAGCAAATATTAAAAAATTTGAAAAATACTATAGCAAATATTAGAAAATTTTTTACTTAACTAGAAAATGATATGGCTTTAGGAATTAAAAAAAGAAATTTTAGATCTCCTGTTATCATCATCTTAACTTAGGTAATATAATATCAAAAGAAAGACAATACAAAAATTATTTTAATATCAGCAAACTAACCCAAGAATAATAAAAGACGGACACAAGAAATAATGAACAAAAAATGCTAGGGATATATTTGATATATATATATATATATATATATATATATATATATATATATATATATATATATATATATATATATATATATATATATATATATATATATATATATATATATTTATATATATATATATATATATATATATATATATATATATATATATATATATATATATATATATATATATATATATATATATCAAATATTAAACTATCCTTAATTGAAGATGAATCTTAAACTATCCTTCATTGAAGATCGATATATCCTTGATCTACAGAGAGTACCAAATATGTATTTTTTAAAATCGGAAATGGGAAAAAAACTTTTTGTTTTTTATGTCATTTATGTATTACATGTGTGCAAATTACAATTCTTTATCACTGATAAAGAATTTAATTTATAATATGAGACCGTCTTTTATTATTCTTGGGTAAATTTGCTGACATTAAAATAGTTTTAATATTTATGTATGTACTGTAATAATATGTATGTACAAATTTAAAATTAGTTTAAAAAATAGAGAGGAAAGATTAAATAAAAATGATATTTATAACACATATTAACAAATGATACACAAACAAAACAAAGCATAAAGAAGTTTAAAAGTGTGTGTATCTATATATATATATATATATATATACATATATATATATATATATATATATATATATATATATATATATATATATATATATATATATATATATATATATATATATATATATATATATATATATATATACATATATATATATATACATATATATATATATATATACATATATATATATATATATATATATATATATATATATATATATATATATATATATATATTTATATATATATTTATATATATATATATATACATATTATATATATATATATATATATATATATATATATATATTATTTTGCATTCTGTTAGTTTGTGATTATGTAAAAATGTTTTCCTGAAATCAGCAGTTGTTTTTATCATTCTAATGATTAAAGCTATGAAGCATTTTTCCTCGTAAACTCCATAAGCAACATTATTTCATATTTATATCCATACTTGTATTTCTTTTTATATCTTTGTGAGCTACTTGCCTTAGACCAAGTCCATATAGTCTCGTCTCTAAATATTTTAAAAATTGAACACATGCAAATATTGTCCATTGGACAGTTCAAGGAATCTTAACTCTACATGCAGGCTTATCATAAACCACTATGTATAAATATAAATACTGCATTTTTATCAAGTATATCCAATTATTCAGCAAATCAAGTAATACTAAAATTTATATCTGGTCAACGACTGAAAAACTGAAAAGCAATTTGCTCGTTATACATTTAAAAACTTATTTTTCAGTAAGTTGACAGCCTGGTGTAACAAAATAATGTAGGATATATAGCTGCATAGTTAGTAAACATATTTATTTAAAAAATATGAACATATACATGTCTGTATATGTTCATATCATGTTATGAAATGAAAGATTTTTACTTCATGTTTTCCATTTGTGTTTACAAATATTTCCATTTGTATTTTCGAATTTGCGTACTTAAACTTTAATTTATTTCGTGCAACATCCTTTAATAAAACTTAGGAACTTTTATTATATACTTGTTTGTTTTCTTTAGTTTTATTTGAAGGTTTACATAAGCATCGAGGCATTTTTAGTAGAAAACTAGAATTTAGCTGTTGTTTACTTGGTTTACTTGTGGATAAATTTTATTTGTGTGTAAAGCTTCTTACAAGCTTCAACTCATTTAATTTTATATTTTAGCTTCAGTCATTTAAATATTGTGTTCATGGTAACTGTATTGTTCCACTATTCAAAATATTCCTACATGATATGTCCATCTCTAAAATTCCAAAAAAACAGTTAATCATTAGTAATTAGTAGTAAAATAAACATTTCTCATATTTTAATATATTATTATAATAATCAGATAATGTTAACTGCTTTGTGTGATATAGTTTACGATTAACTGAATAAAGTTTATATGCATTTGTTTTGATTTTTTTTGTGTTTTTTGACTTGATTATATTAAACGATGAGATCAAGCGCTATTGATTTCTTATTAGTGTAAGCAAGAAAATTTTACAACTTATCTCAAGCTCTAAAAACGGCTAAAATTTTGTCCCTACTGGCAAAATTCAGATATTCAAACCGTGTCGTGTGAAACTTGCTAATATTTTATAATTAGGAGATTAATAATTAGGTTTGCTTTTCTCCTAACACATATCATTAATAGCTCAGTTGTTTAGTGCGCTGTCATCAGTGTCATTTCCCTTAGCGTAATAAATTTTGAAATTTTTCAATCTTGCTTATATATTTATAGCAAAAAAATATTAATATAGTAAAAAAAAATTCTAATTGTTAAAATAAAAATTTAAAGTTTTCTCATTTTATAGACATATTATACACAATTGTTCCATATACTGCCTGCAAACTCAACATATGCTAAAGAAGTTTACACTTACA